TTATATGTCTCCTATATATGTATGTGTATAAGTATATGTATATACTTATAAGTGAGTATATACATGATTTTTATTAAACCAGACAGTGATGCGGAACCATTTTCAAAGTGGATCATATGGTAATTCTGGTTTTAGTGGCTATAGGATGACACTTTTTTGCATCTTCACAATACTTGGTATTTGGTTTTTGTCTGAGAGTGATATAATGACGGGCATGCTGTGATAGCTCATTTTTGTTGTGATCTGCATTCTAACACTTAGGACTGTTGAGTAGCTTTTTGTGTGTTTACTGGCCCTCTGTGTACTTGCTTTAGAGAATTGTCTTTTCAAGTACTTTGCTTATTTTAAAATTGAGCTATTGGGGGGTTTGTTCCTAAGGTATTGATAGGTTTTTTTAGTGTATTATGGATATTAAGCCCTTACCATATATGTGACTTGCAATGATTTTTTTCCCAATTTATGGTGTCCTTTTCACTTTGTTGGTTGCTTTCTGTGATTAGCAGAAGCTGTAAGTTTATGTTACTTCAGTCTTGTTTTGAAGACTAATTAAAATACTTTTCATATTTGAAGCACTAGCTTGGAGAAAATTGGAAACGTTCTAAGATATCTACAAGCAAAACAACAGTGTTGTGGATTCTTCAAAATACATAGAATCATCTGGAATTCAGATTGACAAATGTCTCTGTTAATATAACAAAGGGCTTCTAAACCAACTGTATAAATCAGGAGGTTTAAATCAAATACCTGCCTTATAAAGAACCACAGCAGCACTACCTCCCCCCCCCCACATACAGTCTTCCATGAACCATATCTTGGCTAGTGAGTAAGTAAAATCGATTTTATACACCGTTAAAAGGTGCTGAAGAAATGGCTTATAAGTTTAGAGCACTTGATTCTCTTACAGAGGAACCCACAAGACAGCTGACAACTAACTTTAACTCTAGTTCCAGGGGATACAACACCTCTTCTGGCCTCTCGGGCACCTGGTATGCATGTGGTGCACATACATGCAGGCAAAACCCCCATGCACATAAAAGAAAAATAATTATTGTGGTATGTGCTCATGACTAGTCACACGCTGACCATTCCAACACTCTCCTCAGAGTGATGGAGGTTTGTTGAATGCTGGACAAGGACCGACCAGTCAAGGACACAATTTGGCTAGGTGCTGGTATAACTCTTTCTTTCTTAAAGATTTATTATTATTTGTGCAGCATTCTGCTTGTGTGTGTGCCTGCACACAGGAAGAGGGCAACAGATCTCTCTATAGGTGGTTATGAGCTACCAAGTGGTTGCTGGGAATTGAACTCAGGGCCTTTGGAAGAATGACCTCTGAGCCATCTCTCCAGCTCCCAATGCCAGTCTATTTCTGAGGAAGGCTTTTTATAAGAATGACAACAACAAAACATAACCAGGTAATAACCAGGCAACCAGTTTTAGAAAATAAGGGGAGGGCAGCATGATATCATTTTGACAAGTTAAGTGCGTCTCAAACTGATTGGCTATGATACAGGCTTGGAGACTTTGCAGTTCATTACAATTCCAGGAGAAAGGATCGTAGCAGGGTATTGTGGTTTTGTTTAAGTAAAACATATACCATCAATTCAAGGAGAACATTCAGTAAGTATTGAATTGTAAGTAAAAAACGATTCAAGTTCTGAGGCAGGCAGAGCCTGAGAACCTGAATTTAATTTCATCTTATGATCAAAATCGCAACTGAAAAACAAAATGGTTATGATTATGCTAGGCAGTAAGGTTTAGACATGTCAAGATATGTCTCCATGTTGGTGTGCCTCAACAGTTGCATAAACAATGCAAACTAATACTGCAAATGATAGACTACTAGATGATTAGTCCTTTGAAACATATTTCTGTAAACTTAGCATGAAAGAATTCTATATTTTACCACTTCAGTCATTAGAACATCCTGTATGTGCTTTGTACTGGCTAGTTTTATGTCAAATTGACACAAGCTAGAGTCATCTGAAAGGAGGGAACCTCAATTGAAAATGCTCCTAGCCAGGAGTAGTGGCCCAAGCCTTTAGTCCCAGCACTCAGAGAGGAGAGGCAGGCTGATCACTGTGAGTTCAAGGCCAGTCTGGTGTACAAAGCAGTCCAAGACAGCCAAGGCTACAGAGAGAAACCCTGTCTCAAAAAAACAAAAACAAGCAAAAAACAAAACAAAAACAAAAAGCCTCCATGAGATCCAGCTGTTAGGCATTTTCCTTTTCTTCTCTTTTTTTTTATTAATTACACTTTATACACTTTGTATCCCCCCCCATAAGCCCTTCCCTCCTCCCCTCCCAATCCCACCCTGCCTCCCCTTTCTGCATGCATGCCCCTCCCCAAGTCCACTGATGGGGAGGTCCTCTTCTTTCTGATCTTAGTCTATCAGTTCTCATCAAAAGTGGCTGCATTGTCCTCTACTGTGGCCTGGTAAGGCTGCTCCCCCTTCAGGGGGAGGTGATCAAAGAGCAGGTCAATCAGTTCATGTCAGAGACAGTCCCTATTCCCATTACTATGGAACCCACTTGGACACTGAACTGCCATGGACTACATCTGTGCAGGGGTTCTAGGTTATCTCCATGCTGCCACAGAGGGCCTCTAAAAGGCTTTGCCCTGCAGACTATCAAAGCAGACATTGAGACTCATGGCCAACTGTTGGGCAGTGTGCATGGAATCTTATGTAAGAAGTGGGAAATAGTAAGATCTGGAGAGGACAGGAACTCCACAAGGAGAGCAACAGAACCAGAAATTTGAAAACAGGGGTCTTCCCAGAGACTGATACTCCAACCAAGGACTATTCATGGAGATAACCTAGAACCCCTGCACAGATGTAGCCCATGGCATTTTCTTAATTAGTGACAGGTGGGGATGGTCAGTCCCTTGTGGGTGGTTCCATTCCTGGGCTGGTGGTTCTGCATTCTGTAAGGAAGCAGCATACTTCCAGATTCCACCCGTGTTTAGAATTCCTTTCCTGACTCCTTCTATGATGAACAGAACTATGGAAGTGTAAGCTAAATAAATCCCTTCCTCCCAGCAAGTTTGTTTGTGGTGTTTCATCACAGTAGTAGTACCCTTAACTAAGACATGTTTTCTACATAATCTCAAGCCTTATGGTAAATAAAACATCTGACTTTCAAAAACGCAAAAAGACTTTGTTTTCTTGTGATTACAAAATATAACTTCTTTTATATTCTTTTAAAGTTTTATTTATTGTTGTTTGCATCTATAATGCACATGGGTTTGTGTGTATGCCATGGAGCATGCTTGGTCAGACAACAACATTGTGAGGTTAGTTTTCTTCTCCCACCATTATGTGGGCTCTGGGGATCAAACTCAAATCGTCAGGTTTATATGGCAAGTGTATTTACCCACTGAGTCAGCCCATGTTTACAAAATGTATTTTCTATATAGTAAATTGATAATAAGTAGACATATCATATGCTAGGAATAGCAACTAAAGATTGCTATTACTATGTATGTTTATACTATTGCTAAAGTACAAACATACTCATTGAGAAATCTGAATACAAAAATTTACATCCAAGTTTTCAAACAAAATATTCCTAAAACTATGGCCAATGTTTATCTAGGAGTTACCAGACTATATAGATGTTTTCTGAGAAGCCTGGGCTTTGGTGGTCAGTGTCTTTGCCTTTGGTAGTTGTTAACATTTTGACGATAATCTCTGCTTGTAATTCTTCAGAAGTATGAACACTAAAAGATAACTAAAGCTCAATGCAGTGGCACATACTTGCAATCCCAGCAGTTGGGAGGTGAAGGCAGGAGTATCAGTAGTTTAAGACCAGCTTCTGTTACAGAGTCCAACCTGAGCCACATGATAGGTTGTTCAAAAAAATAAAAACGATAACCAAATTTGTCAAATATAATAGTTGAGTGTGGGGATTTGTACCTATAATCCTAGTTCTTGAGAGACTGAGACAAAAGGATTCCTGTGAGTTCCAAGCCAGCCTGGACTATAGAGTGAGACACTGTCTCAAAATACACACTTCCTGTCTCTGTCCATTTCTGTTTCTCCCTGTCTCTTATCTGTGTGTCTCTCTCTGTCCCTGTCTCTCTCTCTCTCACACATACACACAATCTCAGATATAAAAACAAACCACAGTTATCAACAGGTTGCTATAAGAGCAACTTGCACGTCATGTCCTGCTTGTGTTCCAATGGCACATATCAGCCAAAGAGCAAATGCTTTTGACAAGACAAATCAAAGAAAGCAGGGCATGGTGGCACAAGCCTTTAATCCTAGCACTTGGCAGGCAAAGGCAGACAGATTTTTGTGAATTCAAGGCTAGAATGTTTTACACAGTGAGTTCCAAGATAGCCAGGGATACACAGTGAGATTTTATAATAATAATAAAAAAAGACAGATGAAATACTCTGAAACCAATAAATGCACACCTAACTTTTGACTGCCATTTTGAGATGGGCAGGTCCAAATGATGGTAAGTAGCTAAGAGTGGGACCAATACTGTAAGATGAGACAATTTAACAATTTGAACAAAAGGGGGCATTGTTAAGTAAAATTCACAAGAACCTCTTGTTGTAGGTTAAGCTCCTCTATTATGCCCAAACAGAAAAAAATCAAGATTGGGCACTAACATTAAACTTCCATGTCACCAAAGGGAAACTAAACTGTTTATCTGACTTTCTAAGAAACAGAGATTAGAGAGATTTAACAGCTAATAAAGAGTCCCCTGCCTTAATCCTGTCCAAGAAAGGGTAACCTCAGGTAACTTGATGTTATTTGGGTATTGTTTTTTGTTTTTATTGTTTTGTCTCCCTGTCTTTGCTTTACAAGAACAAGAATTTTGAAATGTTGTTACAGAAAATAAAGGGAAAAAAACTAGAAATGTATATATATATATATATATATATATATGTATTATTAAGTGCAGTGTTCCAAAATAATGTAGTTAAATGTATATCTATATATAAGCATTATTAAGTACAGTATTCTAAAATAATATAGTTAAAATTTTAAGCTAATATGCATTAAAGTAAGATGCTGCCTAAATATGAACATCTTAGGGGGTGACTTGGCTGGCTGTTGGCTTGGGCTTCACTTGCATATTGAGCACATAATCATGGCGGAAGGATGAGCGGACAGTGCGATTCATCAGTGGCTGAAGTGGCCGGAAGTTGTCCACCATTCTTTTCTCTTTCTCTCCCTCAGAAGTGAAAAGCAGGGTCCGAAACTGCTCAAGCTAAAAACAGAAGACATTAAGAATATCAATCAAAAACCAGCTTTAGTGTATGGATAAATTTTCATTTTCTTTGTTTTGAGACAAATGTCTAACTCATTACGTAGACCAGGTTAGCTTCAAACTCCCAGAGATCCACCTTCTTCCTGTCTTCTAAATGCTGTGATTACAGACATGCACCCCCACACTTAGATAATTTTACATCACTTTGTCTCAAATTGAATTCAGAAATAGAAGTTATTTCTGAGAGAGATGTCTTTACCCCTTAATAAGGAGTTAAATACCATGTTGTTGGCATGGTTGTGTGATAGCAGCAGGAAGTGATGAAAGCAGCCAAGCTTTTAGGATCTGAAGTTTAGGGACAAAGGTCCTGGTCCCCACATATTAGCTGTTTGCCATAGGTGAGTTACATCGTCTCTTTCATTCTGAGGTATGTCAGTGGAGAGAAAAGACTAGAAAAATGGTATGTACAAAATGATTTCATTTTGTCATAAAATTATGCAAAATATATAGGTAAAATATCAGATGGATTTATCCAAATAATTAATAATACCAAGTACTGTTCACTGCTACCCTCTTACTCTGTTATCTGCCACTTCCACTCCTACTGATCCTTTTTAAAAATAAATCAACAGTCTACCCTCCTATCCAAACCAAAAAGAACAGCACTGGAAGGGGCTATGGACCTGAAAGCAAAGGCCATTGCACTCCAACAAGTCCAACACAACCAACAAATCAAAGCTGACCTAACACTGGTATAGGACAGCATTACAAATCTCAACTCTTTCAGAGGCCCTCTGTGGTAGGCTCCTGTTCTGTTCCCTTTTTTCTCCCTCTTCTGATGTCCATCCCATTTGCCTTTCTGAATGAAGATTGTGCATCTTACTCAGGATCCTCCTTCTTAATTAGCTTCTTTAGGTACAGATTTTGTATGATTATCCTATATTATATGTCTAAAATCCTATTATGAGTGAATATATACCTTGTGTGTCTTTCTGCTTCTGGGATACCTCACTCAAGGTGATCTTCTCTAGTTCCCACCATTTGCCTGCAAATTTTATGATTTCCTTGTTTTTAATTGTTGAGTAGTATTCCATTGTGTAAATGTACCACAATTTCTGTATCCATTCCTCAATTGAGGGACATCTGGGTTGCTTCCATCTTCTGGTTATTACAAATAAAGCTGCTATGAACATGGTGGATCAAACATCCCAGAGACAGAGAATGATAGCTGTCCCTCATTCCTCACCCATTAGGCCCTCATTGAGCAGAGAGGAGCCAAGGTACCAACTTTCAGTGGTCTCTGAAAACAGAGAAGTCTCCCATTTCCACTGATGCCATCATCCTGAAAAGACCTTCTTCCTGGTCACCACACAGGACTATCTTCAGCTTTTTACTGTGGGCACTTTCTCAAATGCACACGCATTTTCACAGGGTTCCTCCTGAAGGATTTCCCATTCTCTACCAACTCTTTGCACTGTGGGGACCCAAGAAAGGCAAGATGTTTCCTCTCAAGAGCCTGATGAGGGCTTTGAAATATAACACTGTTCTCAGTGAGCACAGGCTTTTGCTTTCCAGGGCTGTATCTCCAGGAAGGCTGGGGTCCTGCTGGGCAAGAGGGGGTGTTTCAGTCATTGCCAGGACTCATGCCACAGGTGCACACAGCTTCACTCCCCACCCGAGTTCCAGACAGTGGCAATTTCATCTTTCATTATTAGTCTCGCCTTGGCAGCATTGAGCAAACAGATGGGGAATGTGGGTGCCTGAGCAAACAGGCTTGCTTTGTAGTGTTCCTATTCATTTTCAGGAAAGCAACTAAAAAAAAAAACATAAACAGGTTTTAAAATAGTCAGACCCAGAAACATGGCCACTCCCATCAATGAGGCTGAAAATGCTCCAAACTAAACTCTGTGCAGAATCTGAGGTACATCTGAACCACTGAAGGGGAAGATCCTCAACACCCTTGGTGTGGCCTTGGGGACACAAGCCTATGGGAGCAGCCAGTGGGTACCTGAGGAGATGACATGCTTTTTGGTTAACATAGGAGGCTTTGAGCAAACCCACTTGGTTTGGAGTCCATCTTCACCCATCTGATTTAAAGACCCTGGAACATTGTTCTGAGTCACGACCAGTGTCACAGGGGAAATGGATCTTATGTGACACTCTGATAAACAAATACATCAACGTGTCAATTATCTTTATACAATACTGAGCAACAATCATATGTATTGGGGTTAAGCGTGAGTGACCCAGGAAACACTGAACCACGGCCTCACACTTAGTTCTCTGCTGTCTGTTAGTTCAGCATAGGTAGGGAGGTGACTCACGACAGAACAAGTTATTTCCACAACTAATTAATCTTCTCATGAGAGAGCTTTCTTATCCTTGGGAATGGCACAGCAGTGGAGAAGGAAAAGATGATTATGAAACAAGACCTGCCAGGGAAAAGCTGTTCTTCTGAGCAGCATGTTCTTACCCAGTCAACTGAAGCATCTCCACTGCTCGAGGCCAGTGTTGCACAAACAGTGCTACACAGAACATTGGTCCCCTGAGATGCTCTCTGAAAGCAGTTTTGTGCCTAAATATGATGTGTACGCCCAGCAAAATGCAGCCCGCCTGGTGGAGACTCAGAATGCATGCACAAAGGCTCTGAGAAGCTTCACTGTGGAGAGGTTCACTACTCCCCGCACGCATGCGACCGCCTCTGCACTTACACAGAACACCTTGCTTATTCCAGAGGCCAAAGACCTCCACAGTCCTGTCAGCCTGGGTTTCCCTCTGTAACTCACAACTCCCTGTGGACCACTGTGAAGGTCAAACCTTGCCTGTGACCTGTCCCTGGCTGCATTTGTTCATTGTCATTGTGGCTTTAATACAACAGACATCTTGAAGTCATTTAACACTCTGCACTCAACCTGGTGTTCTACTGCATTTTGTTTGTCCTGACCACACTGCCTGGCCTGTTCAAGTTTAACCTGCCTCTGACAGAATACTGTAACCAACCTTACATGCCTTGGGTTGCCTATGCAATCATCTTTTACAAACCTAAGTTAATGCCTAACTTTAAATTATGTGTGCCTCCATGGCCTTAACCCAGGTTTTTGTTGTTGCTGTTGTGTGTGTGAATGTGTGTGACAATCATTTGCTAAAAGCAAACAACAGGCAGGTTGAAGGCAACCTTTAAACAAAACAAATATCCCATACATGCTGTAAATATGTGTTTGTAGGTTGATAATCTGTGTTTAGTTTGGGGTGTTATTCTGGGTTAGTTGGGGTCAGTAAAGCAGCTTCCGTTGTAAGACTCTGTTATATTTCTGTCTCATTTCTTTCCCGTGTCATGTTTTCTGTCCTGTTCAATAAACACAGAGCAAATATATATACATACATACATACATACATATATATATATATATATATATATATATATATATATATATATATATATATATATGCACTGGATGCTCTTCCAGCAGTCCTAAGTTCAATTCCAAGAACACACATGCCAACTCACAACCATTTATAACCATAGTCCCATGGTGGTCTGATGCCCTCTTCTGGTGTACAGATAAACATATAGATGAATACATAAATGGATAAACATTGAAAAAAACAAACAAACAAACAAACAACAACAAAATACTCGTCCAGACTCAGTTGGACTCCCTGGCAGCCATTATATTACAAAATAGATGGAGATTAATGTTGGGATTCAGACCCAGGAGAAATGGCTGAGATGCCTATTTAATATACTAAAAGTGGACTTGGTCTCCAGGTTCTCCTAGCATCCCTCAGTCCCTACCTATTACAGGGCATGGCTGGTATACCCTGCCCAGGAGCTGGGCATCCCCTTTCCCAGAAGCTCTTCCCTATATAGTCCAGACATTTTGGTCTCTTTCTCTCTGCATTTTTTTCTCTCTCTCTGTAAGTGGGCTATCTCTCTCTGCCCCCCCCTTTTTGTCTCCCTTTGCATGGTGACTTCTCTGACTTCCTCCTGTGAGATCCATGAACCTACCTGAGAGCTTCTCCCAATAAGCCAGCCTTTATATACTCTAATTTGGCTTGACTTAGCTCATTTTGCTGGTGAAAGAATACCTATCAATTAGATGGCATTATGGCAGAGATGGTAGGAATCTGTGCTATACTGGTGGAGGAATATTGTTTCTACATGAATTTATCAGGTGTCATAAAGGAGAGGAGAGGAGCTCCACAAGGAGAGCAACAGTACCAAAATATCTGGGCACAGGGATCTTTTCTGAGACTGATACTCCAACCAAGGACCATGCATGGAGATAACCTAGAACCCCTGCTCAGATGTACCCATGGCAGCACAGGATCCAAGTGGGTTCCCTAGTAATTGGAACAGGGGCTTTCTCTGACATGAACTAAGTGGCTGTCTCTTTGACCACCTTCCCCTGAGGGGCGAGCAGCCTTGCCAGACCACAGAGGAAGACAATGCAGCCAGTCCTGATGAGACCTGATAAAGGTCAGATGGTAGGGAAGGAGGACCTCCCCTATCAGTGGATTTGGAGAGGGGCATGGGAGGAGATGAGGGAGGGAGGGTGGGATTGGGAGGGAATGAGGGAGGGGGCTACAGTTGGGATACAAAGTAAATAACCTGTGATTAATATAAAAAATAAAATTAAGAAAAAGATAGTCCTATCACACTTCTTTCTCTGCTTCAGAGTCTGGAATGTCAGAGGGCCTGAATGTAAAAACAGGGCTCCCATGAAATTGCAGATGAGCTTGCTCATCCTTATCAGTCAGGGGCAACCTGACTGATCAGGGAAGAACTATTTTCTCTGATAGCCTATCTCCTAGGATAATATGCCCCAGCAAAGAAATTCAGGAAGGAGATTTGTAGAGCACGTCTAGCCCCGTGAAGCCACATCAGCTTCCTCACTCCCAAGCCCACTACCCACCTCCATGAAGGGTTATAGCTAGCTTTTTCCCTCCACAGAACCTCTATCCTATGGGAGAGTCCCTGCCTTTTGCTGTTTGAAATA